GCTGCTGCAGGTTTCTGGAGCCCCACTCGAGGGGTTTGCTGTTTGTGTGGGGCCGCTGACCCAACTGCGAGCGCTCCCAGCTCTTTGTCTTTTGGGAGGTTCAGTGTTGCTGGTGAAGGGAGTCCCCTCAAGCTTTTGACTGGGTGCTGTAAGTAACAGCCCAGGGGAAAAGTAAGGTCAAAAAAGTTTCCAGCCTCTTGGAAATACTCGGTTTCTGTGCTCTTGTCTGATGTCTGTGAAGACAAGATCCAAGAGGACTGCAGATAACAGTAGGAGGGTGTTGTCTGTGTTTCTTAGTTAATAAGTGTTGCAAACAAGCCTGACTTAAGCTCCTGAATGTTTCGTATGAAATTGGTGATCACAGGCACTGCACAAGTGTGCTCCTGGCTACAACATTATGTACCCTGAATGTTTGGAACCAGCTTGAAAAATCTCAGTTGTTCTGAATCAGACCTTGCTGAAGTGATAGAATTCTGAAAAAGCACTTTCAGCTGAACCCAGGTTTCAGTCAGGCCTTGAAACTTTGGGTCAAGGCTGTTGTAATCAGTGTGGCATCTAATGTGTACAAGCAAGGGCTATGTTCAGCAGCGAGCTCTCTGGAGATGATTTCCTCCTTCAAATTGAGCTTTCTAGCTCCAGAAAGCTGCATGTGCCGGGTCTGTGCAGAGCTGAGGCCGGTACGATACAGGGGATGTTTCACAAGGACTTTCTACTTTCAGACACTTGCACAGCACAAGTGTTTTCTGCCCTTCCTTGTAACAGAACCTGTCCTATCTAAGAAAAACTCAGAGTTTATGTATGATACTAGCTTGGATACTCAGCTGCACACCTCTGAGGAGGTGAAGGCTTCTTGATTCGCTTGTGCTGTCTTGTCTTTAGCCAAAAGCTGGTTTGTGCAGAGCGTGAAGAATGGCTAATGGCATGAGGCTGTGGGTACTGTATGATTATTTTTTGTGTGCTCATTCTAACTGCCTACTGTAGGAATCTGCTCCTGCTAAATCTGTGATTTATTCTAGATTTAGATGTCTCAATGGATACATGGAACTTTGTCTATACTTGCCTGGTGTCCTTATGGCTGCACAGATTTTATGTCTATTCTGCTATTGCTTTTGGAATCAGCATTTGGATTGTCATTCAGTTCACCACCACCAAAACCAAAAAGAAGGTAACCGAACATGTAAGAACTTTTGTCTGAGAAGCCCCCAAAAATCTGTGTATGGGCATGAGTAGCTGCCGGCTAAAGGTGCCCACTGGTGCAGTGGAATGTGCTACTTCACTTTGCTGTTGCAAATCCAAAGTGTACTTTAGTTTGTCTGGTGGCTGTAATCCTCAGGCTGGAGGGATTAGGCCATTCAGGAACTTAAAACCTTCTTCTGCAGGTGAGTGCAGTTCTGCACGAGGTGGGAGGTTCTCTGGTTCAGCTGGATCCTGCTATCTCTCTGGTGTGAGAGGTTACACCAAGTTGGGTGGGAGTGGGGATCTGCTGGAGGAGAGGGGGGCTCTGCAGAGGGACCTGGCCAGGCTGGATCCATGGGCCCAGGCCAATGGTGTGAGGTTCAACAAGGCCAAGGGCCGGGTCCTGCACTGGGGTCACAACA